TGTCCTACTCCACGTCTCACCAACAGTTCTTGCTTTCACTCCCTCCAGAGCTGGCCCTCAAGAGGCTGACAGCTGCTGACCCAGCATGGGTGGCTCGGCTCTCCTTGCCGCTCACCAGCAATTACAAGGACAACATCTTCTCCCCTGACTCTCTGCATTCACCTCAGGTTGAGGAAGCTGCAAGGCAGGAGAAACCAAGGACTTTTGAGACCTTCGGCAAAGGTGCCGGAGCCGACTCGAATGCTGCTGGGACAAGACTGGCCAGCACTTTCCTTTCAGAAATGAGCACCCTCTTTGAAATGATTTTGTCCCAGAAGGTTCAAGTCCACAATGAAACAGGCTCGGGGCTTCTGCGGCAGCTGTCGGCACGTGGGAAGAGCCTTGGACTGGAAGACAGCGCTGCTGTTCTGTAGGCAGCTTGGTGGCTGTGATAAGGAGATTAAGAGTCAGACAGAGCTTCGTTCTGCATTTGGGGTGCACACGTGTGCTTTAGCAGGGTCATTGTATCATCCACATCTAGACTGATCATGACAGGCATATTTCTTCCTTTGTCTCTCCCCATCAAATTTCTCCATGACTGATTTCACCTTGTTTAGATCTCTTCTACCTGCCTGTTCTTGCCTTCCTACCTTTCCTCCTCTTCTACTCTCATCTTTCACCTTACCATCACACTCAAGCCACATAACAGCAGCAGGGCCCTTTTCGCCCAGGGCAGGCCGATTGAGGGGAGGGGTTGTTAGATTAACAAGCACAACACAGTCAGCGACATCCACATGACTATAGACTGTGCACCACGGACAATAAAATATTGCAGTCATGGACTTTGCAACATGCTGCAGAATTGGGCTCCAGGATCTCAGTTCTTATTTAAATAAATTTGTTTTTTTCTAACACTACCATATCTGGAACAAGGTGCAGTATAGGTGACATGATGATGTATCTGCAGAAAGCCTGAAATGGCAGCTCAGAAAGGGAGATCTGCCTTTTTTCTCCCACCGATCCTTTCAGCTTTTGTGGTTCTACCACTGTGAACTTGGCATTTTGTAAAACGCCCCAAAATCAGCACTTCTGCTCTGGCATCTCCACTATGGCTGCACTAGGTGCCCATAATTTCCTTCTCCATGCTCTGTTTTGAGGCCATGGGATTTTGGAGCGTAGTCCTTGCCCAGAAGCAGACAACAGATGGCTGGAGTCTGCCAAAGGTAACCTGGGAAAAGGGAAGCGTGAAAACGCTGTTTTGAAATATTCAGTCACAAGTTTCAACCATATTACGGGTTTTCACTTTGATCGCATGTATGTGAGCTATAAGACAGTTTTAGGATAATAGTATGTGTAGGAAAACTAGGATACAGACATTGGTAACAGAGGAGGAAGCACACAGGTGTTAGTTAACCATGGGGACTTGCACTCGCAGAGAATGGAAAGATGACAGTGGCACAAGCATCTGGAGTGCATTTATAGGCTACGCAGCGCTGCATGGATGGCAGGTAAGCGCTTCTGGATCGTGCACACATAGGACTCTCTTCTGTACCATAGTTTGTGCCTTCCAACTATGATACAAAACACCAGAACAAATATGGGGCATGCTGGCAAAGTGGCTGTATAGGTGAGAGGAGAGTGATGCTATGGGAATGAGGGTAAGCCATTGCCTCCACTGCTAGCAACGCACAATGTCGTTGCTTGCTGAGTGACTACAAAAGCGAGGCTGAGACTGACAGCCTCCCCTCCATCAGAGTGCAGGGCCAGCAGTGCTTCATACACACTGCTTTCTTTCCTTCACCATCTTTACATTAAAAATACTGCACCAACTTCTCCACAGATACCGCAGTTCACAACACAGGTTTCTCCAAAGCTAATTTGCTCATGGTGGGGCTGTCGCATCAGCTGTCTTTGGGTGATATTTTTGGCTTTCATTTTACTCTTAAGTAGAAAAAGAACAGGCAGCAAGACCCAGCAGACATGATCCTGGGGCATCTCAAGGGTGTCTTACCTGTGTTGCTTTTCCACGCACCTAGAGGTGACAGTGCCCTGCTTTTAGTGTGTACACACACAAGCCACAGCAGCAGACAATCATACAAATAATTTAAAGCAGAGTAAATGAGAAAGTTATCCCTTTCTATTGCTCTTGGGACCAAATGGCAAAAGCAACAGAGTAAGGTTTCCCCAGGTAGGCTCTTTAATACCCAAAATATCCACCGTCGTATTTGGAGTCTCCAAAGTGCTTTACAGCACCTTACAGACCCCATCTCCGGCAATAAACTACACTGATGGGTTTGCCCCAGCCTGCTTATACTGCCGCACTGCTAATAGAAATGGCTTGCTGTTTTGTTTCACAAACAAAACAGGCTCTTGCACCAAAACAATGACAGTGAGCCAAATTCTTACTGAGATGCAGCTGTGCAAACCACGAGGGAGGCATATCTGTGACTGCGAGGACATGCATCCCTACGGATTCCTCTGCACCTTGGGAATGCTCACAGAGGACAAACACATGCCACAACCCCACATCTTCCTCTGGAAAGTTACTTTGATGTGCGTGTCAAAGGACAAACTTTACACAAAAATACATTATAATAAGAAGATTAAAAAGGAGACAAATTCCTCTCTCGATTCAATTTCCTGATTCTGCAAACTGCTTTCAACCCCCCCAACCCTTACCCCGTCCTGTCCTGACCAACGCGTAAGCATGCTGTGGATTATCACAGAAAAGGAAATCCACCCGAGGAATTTCCTGCTAATTGTATCCTGCTTGATAAAGGAAATGGTCTAAGAAAGTTTGGTCTGAGCAGAGAGAGAGACCAGACTAGAAGAACAATCAGATGTGTTGAGCTCTGGCTGTGCCCCTCCCTTGCTGAATGGAGACCACAGCAAGTTCAGGATGGGGCCATTGCCTTTGTTTTTCAGAGCCTGATCTACACAAAGCACCAGAGCACCATGGCTACAGGAAGCTGGACAGTTTGCACAGATGCCCTTCAACCAGTTTAAACTGGTGTGGACAAATGTCTTTTTCCGGATTCAGCTGCCCCAGTGGAAGAAATTATCATACCAGCTGCTTGCCGCTGTCTGCCTGACAGTGGTTACTGCCCGCTGGGAGCATCCCTTATCCACTTCAGTCAAAATGAGCTGGCGTGCTTAGCAAACATGTACAATACAAATTTTGAAGAAAACCTTGTTCATCGTGACTCAAAGGGGTATACCCAGAGGAACAGCTCACTGCCAGAGCTGAAAGAGTAATAACTGGGGACCGAAGGGCACTGACAATGGTGCAGGATGGCTGAGGACAGCCGTTACTTTCACCAGTACAGGTGGATCCATAAGCCATATCCCACAAAAACCTGTGCCCTGATAATCAGAATTCACTCTCTTGCTTGCACAGGTTTGAAAGCAGATTAAACTGCCACAATGGCAACATAGAGACAAGTCCAGATTGTGCTGGTAGCAGAACCACTGTGGGAACAGCTAGCCTTGAAGTGAGATCAAATTGCCTCAGAGGGTGCAGGCCAGGCCCATCACAGTGTTAGCTGCCAATATCACCATATGGTGGCTTGTAAACCTCACTGGGGGACTGTGTGCAAGATGCGCAGGGCTACTGGAGTTATACCCCCAAATCATATCACTGCGGCATGGTGGGAGTCTATACGTAGCTCTATACGGAAACGTAGGAGCATAAGAAAGGTCCTTGTACTGGAAGGTAGAGGGCCAGGCAACATGGTGGCATAGGAGATATCACAAGGTTTATTCTCAAAACCCCGGTATTTAAAAATGGCTCCTGTTCCATTAACAGAAAGCTTTCTCTTTCCACTCACTGCTAGCCTGCTTCCAGCCCCACGCAGACTAAGAAGGGCTGCCTTCCCTTCTGCCTGCTGGCTTCACTTACCGACTGCTCTAATAACAGCAGTGGTGGGGCTCCAAGCACTGCAGTTCCAATGGCGTTGCCCTGTTTCCGAGGGCACGGCTCCATCCTGCACTGCCAAGCGTCATCATGTGGAGTCCGTCTGCGCTCCAAGAGTGGGGCAGGGAGAGGGCAGATTGTCTTGGCTGGGTGGCGTGGAGGCCTGCAGGCACATGCTCGATAGCCCAGAAACAGGGGCTAGAGGAAGAGGCTCTTATTCCAGAAGGGAATGGATGCTTTGTTCGCACATCTGAAAGTACATTAAAACAAGGTATTAATGATGCATCATACTATGGGAACGGCTTCTCCACTTCAGCTCGACTGGAAATAGCTGGTAAGAAGTGGAAAGAACTGAAAAGGAGAATTGCTCCCTTCCCTTCAGTAAAAAGGACTCCTCTTTGCCACGGCCCTGTGCTACCCTTCCGCTGGCAATACAGGCCCCGCTTTTATGGGGTCACTACACGATGCAGTCCCGCACACCCTCTTGCGCCACTGCCCCTGGTACCTTCCACCTCCTCTTCTAACACTCGCAGTCTCTCCCGGGAGTTCCTGTTCCCGGCAGCAGCTGACTGTCGGTAGTGTCTCATCGCTTCTGCCAGGTCCTGCTGCACTCCGAGGCCCTTCTCATAGCAAACGCCCACGTGATACCTGCTTTGGGCATCCTAGCCACAGGAGAAAGCACAGCAATCAGCCCCACACGATGGAGAAGTGACGACAGCACACAAAACGAGAACAGAGAGTCCTTAACACCTTCTTTAAAGTTTACTGCTTTATCTTTGGCCACCTTCTTTAAAGTTTACTTCTCCGTCCCTCAGACCATATCTTCAGTAATTTAGTCCCTTCTCCGAGCACATAGTAAAGCAGAATTTCTTACCAGCTATCTCTGACTCCGCTCCTTCCTATCCCTTTCCAATTAAATTCACTGATTTCCCTTCAACATCCAGGTCCGAGTCATGGGAACAAAGGAACAGCTGGCTCCGCAGAGCATCTCGATTGTCTCAGGGGTCAGAGCTAAGAGGACTTGGGCAGCCTTGACTGCACCCACATCCTGATCACACCCAAACTCTGCGCACGCCCTGTGGACTGCCCTACTACAGTTCACGCAGAAGCCTTGTAAAAACGTAACAAATACCAGAGAGGTACTTGCTGCCATGGGTTGGAAGATTCCCCTTGGCAGCGTCAGGCCTTCAACACAAATGTGCACCACCGTCTTGCTCAGCCCCACCTAATTATATTCCAGAAGAAATCCCAAGCAGCAGAAATGAAGTCAAGCAAATAAGTGCTAGAGCAAAAGCACCTAAACTACTCAGACATACGAAACTGCTGAGAATGAACTAGAAAGTAGAGGATGTCACTGCAGATAAGTTAGTGAAGCCAAATCCAAACCTGTGATATGTTTACGTGTCGGCTGTGCACTTTATCTCTGAGATCCAATAGGAGGCACAGGGTGTCACAGATAGCAAGAAAGCAAGACGACGGTCCTGAAGACATTGAAAAGACGGCATGGGCTAATGGTCACAC